CAGGAAGCCCTCGCGCGAAAGCCAACGGCCCTGTCACGATACAGCCCCCTAGGTGTCCCGACAGCGGCGTGTTCCCCAGGCCTTTGCACCCCGGCGCCGGTGTCCCGGGTCGCGGTTTGCCCCGGCCCGTGCCACACGAAGCGGGATGGCGCCAGGGAGGTGGGTCAGAGCCTCTGAGTGCCCGGAGAACCGGAGCGTTACCTAGGCGCGCCTCCCTCGGCCGGCCAGCTCGGCACCGTAGGGGAGGGTAAATAGAGTAACAGACTGAAGAAGAAACATACAAAATAACAGAGTAACTTGGTGGCTCTGTTGTATCTGCCGGACCACAATCCCAGAGGCTACGTCTACACTGGCATGATTTTCCGCAAATGCTTTTAACGGAAAAGTTTTCCATTAAAAGCATTTTCGGAACAGAGCGTCTAGATTGGCACAGACACTTTTCCACAAAAGCACTTTTTGCGGAAAAGTGTCCGTGGCCAATCTAGACACGCTTTTCCACAAAAAAGCCCAGATCCCATTTTTGCGATCGGGGCTTTTTTGCAGAAAACAAATCTCAGCTTTCTACTCTAGCCATTTTGCACAAAAGTTTTGTGCAAAAGGGACTTTTGCCCGAACGGGAGCAGCATAGAATTTCCGCAGAAAGCACTGATTTCAGACAGTAGGAAGTCAGTGCTTTTGCGGAAATTCAAGCGGCCAGTGTAGACAGCTGGCAAGTTTTTCCAGAAAAGCGGCTGATTTTCCAGTAAAACTGGCCAGTCTAGACACAGCCAGGGTGTTTCCAGGATCCAAGAGTAGGGAGCCTCCCTGCTCGCCTTGGAGTATTAGCCCTTTTTACAAGTGGGGACAGAAAAGCTGCAACTTGCCCAACATGAGATCACACAAGCCCGGGGCAGAGTCGACAAAAAAACAGACTGCCTTCCATAGCTGTATTTGAATCATCAGGATGCGGTTCCCGAGACTGCCCCTCTGGCACTGTATTTGCTCCCATTCAAGCCCTTGTAGTGCTTAGAGTCAAATAGCGGGAAAATTCTGGGTATTGGGCTCAGTGTGCGTATCTGTAGATAGGATTGATACAGAATCTTGCCCATTCCCATATCCTCTTGCTTCATGGATGGAGTTAAGTGTCCTTGGAATACTTTTCTGTCTTGACTTGCAGGCTGAAATGTCACAGGTGTGGATGGTTGCTTAGCTTCAGACTCTGCCATTTTCTTGCCCACCTTCCAAACATAAATCCAGACACTAGAAGAAATCTTGTGTTTGTTAGATGCACTGTAAAAAATATAGACAACTATATACAGTAATTAAATATTTTGATTAAATAAGAATTAAAAATGTTACATACAATACTAATGCAAATCGTAGTTGCAGGTCTGCGATTATGCAATTCACTGGGTTACTTAGGTGATATCTAGTTGTATAGAAGGTGTGTTCACATCAGAGAGAGTATTAAGCTTACTAGTCAATACTTGACTCCTTTCAGTTTGTTGTCAGATTTTGCTGGAAGCAAAGCCATCAGCCTGAATGAAAGACCCTCTTATAAGCTCTCTACTGCTTTCTTCTTAAGCTTTTGAATGAAGTGGAAACAGATTCAAACTGAATGAAATACCATTTTGGACTTACAGGATTTCCTATAACTCTTCTTAAGCAATGCTAATATAGAAAAGAAATTTACAAATCCACTTGGAATTCAGTGTGACCCACTACAGACACCAATGAATATGTCATTCAGTCAAACTAGACCTCCAACATCAGAGGTGAGAACTTTTCATCTTGATATTTAGGAAAACCTGTATAACTGTTGTAAATTGTAGAAATTGCTGCCGTACAACATTTTCTGGCAGATGTGTGAAGAACCTAGACACTTACTTTCAAGCTGTCTTGAAAAGTGTAGTTTATGTTTAATTACCAAAAATTTATGGGAATAGACACTAA